CGGCCTACAGAGACACCAAAGCTTCCTCTCTACATACCTGCAATACTCCACATAGCATCGACTCAAACGACGCAACGAAATATCTAACACTGTCGTTAGCGAACCCTAGCCAGTCTGCGCTACCACCAATCTACTCGCTTCAGAGGAACTATTGGCACTACCGCAGCGTGCGGCGCAAGACAAGTACACCAAATCCCGCAGCCTTGCACATAACCCCCTGCCTGCGTAGGGTGAACATCTGCCCAAGCTCTCAAAGATGAGTAAAACCGGCGCATAGAAGAGATTGGTGCTCTCTAGCAACGGCACCAATCTCTTCTATGCGCCGCTGTTACGCATCCTCCATCCCGCGTTACTCATTCTATTGCGAGGGTGGCATCGAAGACTTGCTAAAATGAAAAGCGTACATCGCATCAGAGCATTCGTATCACCATAATCAGTGTCTCTTCTTCTGTATGGTCGTGGATGCCATATAAGCGCACTGGCTAAAAGGCAAATTCTCCGTCGCGTCAGCGCCTCTGCACTCCATTTCACGACACTGCTGGATTCGTTAGTCGCGGATCTGGCACATTGTAGTGGGTTTATTGACGCTGTCGTGTAAACTCTTGCCAGACCGAACCAGTATGCTGGTCGCCAGTATTATCGGCTGCTCGCCAGTATTATCAGCGTAAGGCACCACATGGACAGTGTCTAATCCCGCACAGGCGGTGGATCCGCCCTCTGAAACCCTTCCAGCACTCGTGCTTGGCGCGAAGCCTCGACAGAGAACATCGCCTCCCAACCAATTGATTTCCTAGATCTTCTTCTGTACGCTCGTAGATGCCATATAAGCGCACCGGCTAAAAGGCAAATTTTCCGTCGCGTCAGCGCCTCTGCACTTCATTCCACGACACGGCCAAACGAAGGCTCTGCTGCTCCGGCTTGGCGCGAAGCCTCGACAGAGAACATCGCGTCCCAACCAATTGATTTCCTAGGTCTTCTTCTGTACGCTCGTGGGTGCCATATAAGCGTACTGGCTAAAAGGCAAATTTTCCTTCGCGTCAGCGCCTCTGCACTCCATTTCACGATACAGCGAAACGAAGGCTCTGCTGCTCTGGCTTGGCGCGTAGCCTTGCGTCCCAACCAATTGATTTCCTAGGTCTTCTTCTGTACGCTCGTGGATGCCAAATAAGCGCACTCCCTAAAAGGCAAATTCTCATTCGCGTCAGCGCCTCTGCACTCCATTTCACGACACAGCGAAACGAAGGCTCTGCTGCTCTGGAATGGCGCGAAGCCTCGACAGAGAACATCGCGTCCCAACCAATTGATTTCCTGGGTCTTCTTCTGTACGCTCGTGGATGCCATATAAGCGCACTGCCTGAAAAGGCAAATTCTTGCGTTCGTCATCCGTTGCACAAACATCTACACACGCACGAACACCGACAAGGCAGTTTGAACGCCGTATGAACGCCTAGAAAATGAGCTATTTCCGGCTTCCCTTCTGCCTCATCGTGTGGCGAAAAACGTGTTTGGAGTCTGCGGGTGACTCCACGTTTTTAAAGCGAAGTACAGAGAGGGGAAAATGCCTACAGAGTCAACAAACAGCCATTTCTACCCTTCGGGAATACTCCACAGAGCATCAGCTAAATCGGAGCTGAGCCATATCCAACATGGCTGTTGAAGGCATCCAGGCAAGCTGCGCTACCAGTCATATACTCGCCTCATTGCAACTATTAACAGTGCCGCAGCACGTGCCATTAAGGACGTTTAACATTTTCGTGAGTTGCAAGCAATCAGCTTCCTGTGTCTGCCGCATATCTGCCGAAGTTCTTGACGGTAAATGGGCTCTCTAGCAACGGCTGCATTCTGTTGAATGCAGTGTCGTGCAGCCATTCTGAAGCCCCGTATGTACCTTTGCTCATTTTATTGCGAACAGGAGATTGCATATTTAGCGAAGCACACTTGCGTGCTGGCTGCATGCTGGAAAACACCCCACCAGAGGACATCGCGTGGCCCGAATATAGTATGCTGCATTTCCTTCCGGAAGAAAACACGCACTCCCTAAAATGCAAATGGCGCGTTTCCTTTTTGACGTGGCGGTGCAGGACAAAATATCACTTTTTGTAGGCGTACGTCTGGTTGGTCACGAATCGCCTCGGCACTTTACGTTGGGTGTATCGACGCAAAGATATTTTGTCCTCAGCTCTTGCCAACGTAGACACGCAGCACATTGCTATCCTGTTCGGCAAGCCGGAAGTATTCACGCATTCTAGGTGGAGCTCAGTCGCCCACTCCATAACAAGATTTGCTACAGGTGTAGCAGTGCGGGCTCTAGTGGCGTGCGCAAACCAGCTCGAGTGCAGTTCGTGCCATGCCTGACAAGTCGCTGCGCGACGCTAACATGCGTATACTTAGTTCGTTCCACTTTCCCGGAGTTGTGGGTGAGTAGGTGGCCAACGCCTACCCATCCACAACTCTTCTGACTCCTGATTCAACTAAAACAAATAGTTTTCTTTTTTTTTCGTTAACCCTCAATCTCTCCAATGCACAATGCGCGGATTCGCATTTGCCTCAACTGACCCCCATGCCACTTTTCACTTTCTCTTCAAAACCCGCCAGCGGTGTCGGGACTCCCTCCACGCCGCTCATATATATCGTTTCTCCTCACGCATTCTAGACCGCCAACGCAGCGGCGAGACACTTGTTCAAAACGTAGCAAACTGTTGCCCTCCAGGCACCAACGCCGCCACGCACGCACCGCGATGTGACCACTGGTCTGCGTACACAGCGAACAGCTAAGTCAAAACTGAAGTGGCCACGAGAAATTTGATGGTTTAATGAAAACAGAGCACTGCGATGGCCATAAACTTGACGCAATGTGATTTCCGCCCACACTCAGGAGGTCGAGAACACATTCGTTCCTTGCCATTCCTATAGCGCTACCTCACCAATGACGTCTTTCGCACCTTCCAGTTCATCGAAAATAGACCGCTAGCGATTTCTCCAGACACTCGCAATGCGCACTTCCTGTGCGTAACGCCAGTTTCCTCCACGCACAACTATACTGCCTTGCACTCTCAACGCGGCCTCCCGTCACCCATCACCCATCTCGCCGCTTCCTCATCGGGTATAAAGTGCTGATGCGCATGTCACGTTTTCTGTAGCGCTAGCAAGCTTTCTGTATCACCTATCTACAATCGGGACGGGTTACAGACTCTTTTGTCTCAGAAACTGACGGGTCCGTCCACAAATATTCTGTATCCCCTCCATACGCCGTACCATTTCCGGGCCTACTCAAGGCCGTGTCACCCACCGCCCGTGCTCCACAGCTGTTGTGCAGCTGTCGTCACGACAGTCAAAATAGTCCACCCACACAACGACAGAACCTGTTATTTCTCTTTATCCACATACGGCCGACGTTGCATCCTGCACAGGTGTCACAGAGTGACGTCCAAAAGGCCGAGCAGTGTGCAGGGGATTCCTCCTTACAGCATTTGCAATCACCCACAGCTCTCCACCCTTCACCTCTACCCACTTACGAGATCGTTGGCGCATGCTGGAGTGTCCGATTCAAATAGAATTAGTCGTTTTCTTTTTTGTGTTCCATCACAATCTCTCCAGTGCTTGACATCTGCTAGGATTCACATTTGCCCCAACTCATACCCAGGCTACATTGCATTTGCTCCTCAATCGCTCGTCAAAGGCCTCCGAGCTCCTCTCATGCTTCCCGTACATAAGTTTTGCCGCTCCCCTTATTGACTCCAGACTGCCATCAAGGCTGAAAGGCACTTTTCCAAGATTCAGCAAACCTCCAACTGCCGGCCACCATCACACTGCATGCAGCACAAACCCACAAGGTCAACAGGCGAGGTTCTGCAAGCGTGCATCGACATAGCTGCGAGCGTTGCGAAGGGAGAAGTAGTCAGCTACAAGGAACTGCTGCAGCCGCCTCAGCACTTGCTGATTGCAGCTTGTCGGCGGACACATCGTTCCTTGTCCTTTGCCCCACTACGCCACTAGCGTCTACGCATTCCAACCAGATGCTCCCAATGCGTACAGGCTGTGCATGACTCCACTTGCCACTCCTTATGGCTATACCGCTCTGCACTCTCCCTTCAACCGCCCGTCAACACTGTGCTTATCATCTGTATTACAACGTTCCCATCACATATAAGGTGCTGGCACGAACTAGCGACCTGGTCGATTACATCTGTATCCGTTCAAATCAAGTGCTTGGCTGCTAAGCAACTTGCGCAAAAGAAACAACAGCCGCACTCCACGTGCCGCTGTTCATTAAACACCGTTGCATCACATCAGGCACGCACCCGAAATGTCGGCGGCAGAAGTAACAGCCACACGAAGTACGTCTGTTCGCAATCACCCGGTCATCCTTAACGCGCATGCCGCATTATAATGAATCCTTGCATCGCAGGCTAGAGCAGCTTTCCCTTCACTTCACAACACAAAACCTGCAAATAATATTCCAACGAATATTTCCAAACACGCTCGCAGTGCGACTAGCAAAATCGGGTATGCCACGCTGTAAACCAAACAATCGCCTCTGCCCCTGTTTGCAACGCCGAAGTTTGTCGCCTTTCCCCCAGCATCCACATCCCATTAAACGGCTCTTGTATCACTGCAGATCCGCTCAACAGAGCCCACCGTTTACACGAGTTCTGCTTCAGGGAGTTACACGCATACCCTCCAATTACCGAAACACCGACGCCGCATTTGCTAGGCACGCACAACAGTTCCTCTTCGTTCCCAATCATCAAAACACGGCTGACGCCCGTGGCCCAGTGCTTTGAGTGCTCCTGCGCTGCGCAGGCACAAACCGTGAACGTCTTAATCGACGTATGAGTTCTGCCGAGGTAGCACCATGCGATTTAACATCCAACCAACACTAGCACACGCTCTTCTCTCTGAACCACGGTAACTCCGTCTAGCGGTTTCACATTGTTTAGCTTCCACAACACAACGTTTTAAGCCCAAAGCCGTCACATCCTCCATGCAAAATATCGTTCAAATATCGACGGCTTATGAACCGCTCCACACATCTGACGACTACCCGCAGCAGCAGTGGCCGAAAACATTCGCAGTGCACAACACAAACGTGCGCGAGTCATGATAAATCCACACAGTCCCCTAACTATAGCCCAGAGGGATCATGAAGGGATGCATGCACAACGCGAGAATCAGCGGCGCCAGCGATACTGATAATCCAACGACCCTACACTGCACCCGTCCACACCGGCGTATTCCATATGCCACAGCCTCCAAGCGCCCGTCCCATCAACCAACCCACCGAGATCGCTAATAGTGTGTGGTGCTGTCGTGCAAACCCATACCGCGGTAACTAAGCACCCTGCCTAAACATACCAAAGAGGAGAAAACTCGCAGTGGAACCTGATAAATCTGTACGGATGCACGCAGTCATCCATTCTGGCCATTAAGAAACCTGAAAAGTAGCAGGACCATAAACGCCCAGAGCCGATGAGTTCTCTTGGTAAAACGGCGCGCCGGTGTGTGGCCAGAAAAGCCCTTGCCACACAGCGGCTATAAACGCGTGGATATACTATAGGACCCGGCGACACTTGCACATGAACGCGCAATCCGCTTACAGCTGCACGCCCCCTAGCATTCTGCCGCAGTCTGCGTACACTCCTATCTACAGACAGAGCTAATGCCAACCATGGCCAGCGAACCAAACGTAAACTCAATACGAAATGCAGGGCAATGCGGTTGCTTGCATGGGGCGTCCTTCTCGAAGTGCTTGTCTTTGGAATGCCAACAGGAATAGTAAATACTCAAGACGCGTGGGAAGCATCAGGATCATCCAGAACGAGAGTCTGCTTCCCCCTTTCCTCTAGAATGTAATATAAACATGCATACGTTGTAATCTCCACCTCCAATTCCCTCATCCGTCCGCGAGGTATGCAAGATAATGGCTCAATACTGCCTCCCCATACCTTACGCCAGTTTCACGAACAAAACTCGGAAGGTCCCAACGGAAGCCAGCCAAATTCATCCTATGTAACGCAGTGTAGTGCGACGGTCAAAGAACCTAGGTATTTCAATCGCTTCCACGTACTCAGCACTGCCACGCCATACGAAGGCTGGACAAACTGACCCTTGTGGGGTGTTTAAGAAAACGAACATGCAAGCTGAGGGTAACTGTCAACGGTGTTCCGCAAGTAAACACTAAAGTGAACAACCACTGTGAAGCCACGCCTGCGAGCTTGCAAAACTGATTATCCATGTGGGTCATTCGACTCTAGCAGAAACAGACGAATTGGGTGCGTTAGCTCCGTTAGTCTAAAGAACCATCAGCCGGAATTCGCCGCTTGATCCACGCCGCCCGGCGCATTTTAAAACGGCATTATCACTCGCTCATGTGGCCTTGGCTAGGAAAGAAGGGACATCCTAAGGGCAGTAAGAGCCGATTAAGGCCGAAAGCTCACCTTTACATCATATAGCGTCGCAAATAGCATCAGAGCCACAACCCGCAGCTTCACTGCGATGAACAAATTTCGAAAAGTGAAATATTGAAGCACGTGAAGGTCAAAAGCCAATGCTCCGAGCACCCACTTGAAAGGTACTAATGCACTGGAACTGTATTTTTACCATCCACTTTCTCTAGTATAGGGTCAATTCAGCAAGAAAGCGGCGCAAAACTTAAAAAAAACGAACCTAGATGCCTTTTATGGAGTACTTGCCTCATGACAAAGCACCTGCTGAGAACTTGCCACTGTCAAAAAAGTGAGCATGACGTTG